TATATATATTAATTTTCGAGATACCTTACATAGTAAACAATTCAATCAACGAAACTCAACGAAAACAACTTCACATTGAACCAACTAATATTATAAAAAGTTCTAGAATATTTTTTGTATACGAATGTTAAGCGTGAAAATTCCTTCTAGTTTTTTGAAGCCCGATTTCCAGAACGCGTGGAAACCACTAGTTTAAATTAACTTTCAGAGTTTACGTGGAACGATGTTTGCATTTTTTTTAACCCCCGTAAAACAACACATACGTATATCACCCGCGATGAACGCGGAAATACGGCTCATTATAATGACAGTCGAGGTAAATTGGCCGCAAAGCATCGTGTACCGTCGCATCTGCTTTTAGCAAATTCTGTTGTCACTGATGATTGGGTCGAGCGTAAATATTTGTCTATGATATACCGCATGTCCTCGCGGAATACAGCGCAGCATGACTGTGTATACCGTTGAAATGGCTGATTGTTTCTGATCAGAGCACTGATAGTGCCTAAAGTCATTTCCAACGCGATTTTCGGCTCTAATGTTCACACTGCTGTATAATAATATTCATAAAGGTATTTAATAATTATTTAATATTATAATATGAAAAAATAGAGACACGTCATTTTTTAATATTTGGAGCGAAACTGTTCTTCAGAGAATTTGAGAAATTAAGTTGAGTGACTTTATACAGTTATCCTAAATTTCCAAAGTTGTTGCCTTAACATAGTTTGCACCTGAAGTACATACGTGTTCCACGTAATATTTATAACTTGAATACTTTATTCTCGAATCTTTTTGTTGATTATAAGACAAACAATCTTTTCACTAAATTTACCATTCAAATGCCCACACCACTTATTCCAAGGCGACGTTGAAATTCCCCGCTTGAATAGCCAACGCTCGCGTGATATCAGGCGAGAAGTTGACGATAAGTCCCATTCGTTTTTTTTTTTTCGCGAAATATATCAGGCTCGCGCGATACATGCGCGTAACATCAATTTCAGCGCGTCATCTCGTCTAGGTGCTCCTCACATTTGTCAGATTAAAATTCCTACCAATGCAGAAACGAACGCCGCGATTGCCGCGCCGTACGTAAATCAAGGTATTACTTACCAGCGTGCAGGAAAGAGATACCGTGGAACGTGTACAGGGGTGGAAGATGCACAATGCACCGGGAGGCGAAGTTCGTTGTTTCCGAAGATACACAAGCGCGCCTGGCGAGAGACGGAAGTATGAGAAACAGTAAGCGCGCGTGCACGTATCCAACCCTGGGCTCGACTCGTATAGAGACATTACGCCGGATGCTAAATGCTCGCAATGGCTCCCGACCCTGCGCGACGCTCAATTCGACTCTGGAAGTCTCCCCAGAAGCTGCCACAACCGTAAAAATCACGAAACGGGGCGCAATACTTCGTCCCTAATTGCAGGGAATGTTTGTCGCCGTCGCGACTCCTCGGAAAATGAGTCTTCCGCGCTCTGAGTACGTTGAGGGGCGCCCAAAATGTCGAGTCGGCACAGAAATAGTAAATTTTTCTCTTTCCAAGAGACGTGGAGTGCAACTATCGACAGTAATCGTGAGAATATTCTTTAGATTTTCTATTATGATCAACGAGCGGAAATGATAGAAAAGTAGATTAAAATTATAATGCTTCAAAAATTTCAATACACCATAGACAATTGCATTCGCAGTATTAGTTGTTCAAGTATCGAAGATACAAAAGAATCAATTACTTAAAGAGGAAAAGCCGAACGCGAACCAATTCCTTTCGCGAGAATTTATTTCCAGGTTGCTTTCGCTATTCACGAACGTTGCCATTACTTGTACCCCAGCCACCCCCTGGATAAATGTAAACGAACGGACTCGTTCGACGACAATTAAGCGGGGATTGCCGTATCTTCTTCGCTTCGCAATCTAATATTTCTCGGTAGCTTCCATGGAAAGTTAAACATGAACTTAAGAATCAAGGTGGTAGGATTTCCAGACGAGCGGAGGGTTCCAAATCACGTTTATCTCCAGCAAAGCCACCCCCCGAGTCGGACAACTTTATCATACAACCGTCACCCCGCGACTGCTCCTCCCGCTTAATGAATAAGCCGAGTGGTTTGTTGCGCATCGTTCCTGTAACAAATACAGCTAACTAAGCGCAAAAGTGCGCGGCGTCCGCGAAAGCTTATTACTCGATGTTTACAACCGCGAAGAAACTTGGCGGACCCGCTGCGACGGGGAATCACACTTCGGGAACTCGACGGAGAACTTCCACCACGGTTTTAGCCGCGACCATACCAAGCAATTTCAAACGAGCACTGACGACCCGCCATCTTATAATTAACCCGTTTCGCTTTGGTGCTTTAATATACAGTTTCGAGCCGGAGATTCGGCGACTGTGCGCGCTGGGCGACACTGGCGCCCCATCGATCAATGGAATCGAGAAATGCTTATTGTTTTGGAACCTCGTCTGGGAGTTTACAATTCGCTAACTTCGGCCGATTGGCTAATTACGTAGTTGCCGCGAATGATGGGTTGCCACAGGGAATGGCGACGTAACTTTGGTGATAATTTTTTCGCGGAGAAGTGAGGAATGTTGTTCAGTTTTGCCTTGTTGCCAATATTTATACATCTTCTAGCACAGAATTTCGAACCTCCGCCGATCGTTTGGGGTGCAAATTGAATATTTTCCCATGGAATTTAATTTTCCGAACACATTTATGCTACTAAACTGTCACTCTGTAACAGTAGTACAATTTCCCGAGGGAATATCGCTCGGTCAATTTCACGATATCGGCATTGAAAAATACCAATTAAATGATTTAACAATGAAAGCGGCAGCAAGTGTGCGCCGTCAGTGTACATATTACATTGTCTGGAATGATTTATACGTTAAAGGACAGACATATCGAACGACTAGCTGGTGTTTCGTATAGAGGGGACCCGCTGAAGAGATGTATGTTCATTGGTAAATTGTAGCACAATAATGATAACATCTAGTTAATAATACGTAAGCTATTATGCACCTGTTGTTTATAAATGTCAAACGCGTTACAATACAGCGATTATGACGGTGATCCTTTATATTTCGACGTGTGGCTGTTCATTAGCGAACGTCAATATTTATTAAGCGCGCCAGCTGGATCGCGATGCCGCGCTGGCAATCGCAAACATCTCGAAACAATCGAATGACCTGTAAATTTAGGTAACAAGGGTTTGTGTAAAACGGTAATTCCAGGTCAGAGCTGTTTGCCTGACTGGAACGGTCTGAACCTACTCGATTTGTCAAATTCACCTTTTTCATGCTGAATATTTCGGTTCTTTAATCTTTAATATTGTACTGATTTTAAAATGAAAAATATTTGATCTACTATCTTCATTCTGCATATGTATGAAATATAAAATTTGCTGTATATTCTTATACTTCGTGTAACATATACCGATATTTGTTTGTCACGCACTGATGGTCATATTTAATGACACTCGTTCGTTTATTAAACCTGGTTTCTAATATTAACGACGATTCTACTCCCAGTTTAAATTATCTTGGCCAAGAATTGTTGGAATAAGGAGAGTATTTTTTGAATACCTCCGTTAATTGAGAGAAATATAAAAACTCAGTAAAGAAAATTACTTTCAACGTTAAAATAAAATAAAATGAATCTCATTCAAGGGCGTGTCGAACTCTCCTATAACTACATGCATTTTTCTATGGAAAAATATCTTGACCTCTTACAAAAATTCTTTAAAATTTATTTAAAAGGAGGAATGCACCAACCACCAACTTTCACCTAACATTTACTTTACTTTCCTCCGCCAATATAAATTCAACGTAAAAGTAGACGTTTCCGATGTTTCTAAAATTTTATTCTTAAATATTATTTCAAATGTTTCCCGGAGGATCGAAACTCCTTCTTTCCGAGTGCTCCGCCCTTACCGCTTTATATCCAGCGCTGAACCCTTTGAGGTACATTTCGTTGAGCGAATAAAGCCAGAGAGGAAAGTCGTGCAAAGGTGGCCGTACGCTCGATTCGAAGTTACCGACTTCCTTCATCCCGCAATTAAATGCTTGAAATAGGCGCGATTTAATTAACGAGCTCGCGAAACGTCATATTTATTCGGCGAAACGGGCTGCCAGTCTCCGCGAATGAGGGTTTCTGCCTCGAAGTTTATTCTCCGGCGACAAGAGAGATTTAAAGGGCATTATCGCAGCACCGTTTCACTGTTTCAGACTACGGCATAACTACGGGGAGGCAGGAGACGCAATATCCCTGTGCCTTTGTTTACAACAGCAACGACACACGGAACGGAACGTTCACGTCGCCAAACTATCCTGGATTGTATCCCCGGAACACGGAATGCTACTACTTCTTCAACGGCCAGCTCACCGAACGAGTCCATCTCCATTTTCACTTCTTCGACATCGAGGGAGTACCGCCGTAAGTCGAACTTGCTTTAATATTTAATTGACGACCAGCAAACATCATTCGACTGCGAATTTCGTGAAACTTTTTCGGTATGTTCAAACTGAAATGTTAATATTTTTAAATAAGAGCAATTGTATTTTTTACATATTTAAATTACACACGACTAGGATAAATCTTTAGATTTCTAAACTTAGAAAGTAGTTTCGCCCATCACTGAGAACTCCCCGAAAAATCATAAAAATCTTTCATTGGATTTCTAAGAAAATCAAACTATAACTACTGGATCATTCGCCTATTAGAATTTATCAAATAAAAGTAAAGATTTAGATTGTAATTTAGACGTTACCGAGGCACTGGAAACGTTCAATAAACACTGCATGATAAACGCCTTCTCCGTAGATTATAAAACGGATTCATAACCTATAAAATTGAGATATTACATTTCCTTCCTTGAGCCACCTCCAGAACCCCGCGGTTATTGCATGAAAAACACGTACAGCAGCTTTTACGTTTTAAATCACTGCCATGATTTAGGAATATCGGAATGAAAGACAGTAATGGCGGAAAGCTGGATGGCCCCTTTCCCTGGTCGGTGCACGCGACAATGCAATAAAAGCTCAAATTCTTTGTGCCATCAGTCACGGTGGACGATCTGAAAGGAAGAATTGTTGCAACCCTTTCCCATTTACTTTCAAAGCAATTGAATTTGTTCCTTTGTCGTCAATTAAGCAATTGCACCATTGTGCCGATATCAAGTTACTCTTCGAGCATTTAATTTCAGTAATATTATTAACGAAGATTAATAACACCTTCTTATTAATCTGATTTAGGATCGATTAACTTAATACTTTTGTTTACAATATTTTCTGTTCCGAGTTCTGCGACAAAGACGTAGGTACCATTAAGAAAGTTCAAATTGAACCACATACGATATAGTGGTTGGGTTAAACCAATGAACTTATACAACGAATTTATACAAAGCTTCATAAAAATGAATGCATCGATTCATTTGACTGGCTTTGCACGTGTTACGAAATAATCCAGCCAATCCTGTATAATGGAAAAGGAGAAAGAATGGCCAGAATCTAATATAGAGGGAACACCCAAGCAATACAAATAAAGTAAAGCAGTATGGTCACTCGTATATAGAAGAAATAGAGAAATAACGTTAAAAATCTAATATAGAAAGAACTTCCAAACAATACAAGTAAAAAGAAGGATGGAACACGAAAGATGAACCGATAACTCTATCGTGACTGGAATTCCACGGTATCGATCCTCCTCGACTACCTTTTCGTCACTCAACGAGACGAGGTGAGACAATGTAGGCATCCTTAGTCAACTAGAAGTTTCCTGGAAGGCAATCGATACTAGTTCGATTAACCAATCCTGACGTAGCTCGACGTTCCAGTAAATCAAACCACGTCGAACAAAGTTTCGAGCTGCTTATTGGAGACGAAGACGCCGGGCGTCCGAAGGTGTCCTGTAATCGATAACCCCAAAAGTCCATCCAAACATAGAGCGTTCGCGGCTGGGTTGACTAATTAACGGTTACAGCTGATTAACGAGCACATTAATTAGCGCGACGGATTTGAAAGGTAAACCTCGAAACGATTTTAGGACGAACGAAATCGAAATTACTATCACGAGGGATTTGTAAAAAAAGGTAGGGCTGGCCACATAATGACCTAATTGGGTCTTATTAAATCGCCATCAATAATCATGTTGCGCGGCGCTTCGTTCATTAGTGGAGGCCACTAATTAGTCGTGTTTTGCCATTTCCTACGGGAACTTTTAAACAATTGCGCCGAGGAGAGGCACGAAGTAGGTCTCGCGACTTGCACGAAATCGATAACATTCACCGTATCTCGTACATTTCGTTGGTCTGGTAATCGTGATTTTTTCTACTTGTCTGACTAGACACATACCTCATTCCATTTGTTAGAAAAGGTTTAACTAATCGGATTTCTGAAAAGTAATCGTCTCCTTACAGTTCTGTTCTTAGGTTCCTTGCAAACTTTTCATCACTTTGTTTAACTTCTCATTCATTTTTGAGGGTATGTAATCAACCATCGACCTCAATACAACACCCTGTCTTAACATGTCTGGAATCCCATCCCTATCGAAGTCCATAACACCGAACATTTTAATATCCCTCGTTTCCCTCCGAAAACAGCGGTCCGAATGGAAGTTCAATTAGACGAAGTGCGACGCGACGACACCTCGCCAGATCGCGTTTCCGATCGAGAAAGATACATTTCTACTCGTAAATCCAGGCACGCGTAAACACTTGAAAATATATGATACGAAACGAGGAGAGCGAATGATGATCTATCATACGAATTGCCACTTATGTCGTCGGTACAAGGAACCGCCGTGCGATGTATGCGTATATCGTCCTTTCGCGATAATAGCGCCATCGCTCACGTATCAATATTTCTTACGGGCGGTGTACATTATTTCCAACAGCGAGTGGATTCCTCGGTTCGGGGGTGAACGGCCGCATAAATCGCCGTTGTCAGTTCCATTTATTTGGCGGATCGCCACTTCCTTTTTGGCTTTAATTACAGACCGCGGATCGTAACAGCATTCACGAATTCGTAATATGTCGGTTTCCTCCGGGGCAGCAAATGACGAAGTCGTACGTGGCGATGAGATCAAGCGTCTTACATAAAAATAGATTAGATTCCTAACTGGGTTGGATCGAACCCTCTACAACAGTGCTGTGCAAGCTGATTTCAAAGACCCCTTCGGGTTCCTCGACTAAATGGGACAGTACATGAAGGATTTTCTAGAATGAGCTTAAGAATGTTGTTTTTTTAATAAAACAGAAATTTTTTTATTCGAGTTTCCAATTCAATAGAAACAAAGTTTTATCCTTGTAGAAATGTTAACGAGTCTGGCATTGAGCGTGTTAAAGTTATTTTCGTAGCCAGTCGAAGCAGACAAAAAATCGCACTTGGCACTTGGTGGCGCGGGAATAAAGCGTTATTTCTGACGCCCCTGGCTGAGGGGGCGTTCTCAGCGACCTTTAATCGCGGATTACGTAATCGTGGGATCCGTTGACTCGCGGGCGAAACGGGCGGGAAATATTTATGGGGAAACGGGAATAAAATCCGCGAGCTGGGTGGGAATATCCGAAGGAGTCTGATTGTAAAGCCTGGGCGGTACGCGGCCTGGTTACACATGTATATTAAAGTTATGCGCGGGAAGAGCCAAGATTGAATTACTTATGGAATTGCCGGTCCACAGCTATGAAAGCAATTTACGAGCACGCGCGAGGAGATCCGAGAAAAAGCATTCGAGATCTCTTCGATATTCGCCCGCGAAAGGTGAATATATCAAGTGACTTCGTTTCTTTTTCACCCCAGGATAGATTGGGCCACCGTGTCTATCAATTTGAACTCGGAAATCACATAACCGTTTAATAGGAAAGCGTTAATTTATAGAACTAATACACTAAATTACGAGTGAAAATTTTACTGCTTCTTGAACGATTATTGGTAATAATTAAGACTAATATTTTTGCTAAACGAGTAACCTATTCTTTTCGAGCACTCGTCCAAAATTTCACCTCGATTAGCCAAAAATAATAGAAATTATCCAGAAAATCACAAGCACGGAAACTTATGATTTTCTATTATTAATGCCACTCGATTATTTGTCTAGTACTATTTAGGTACTGGTGGAACATATAGGATTAACAAAGCATACTTCTTCTCTATTGATCTAGCATACACCTAGCGCACTTGTCTTGCCGACGTTTTCATTTAATTCGCTCCTTCCCGAAAGAAAGCTCCATTTCGTTGATGCAGCGTTTCCGCGGAAGGAAGATCCCTCTTAAATGTTTATGCCATCACCCGTTCCACCACGGAAGGCAAGCCTCCTCGCAGTCTAACCTTTTCCACCATGTATAATATATAATCACAGGTGAATTATTCACTGGATCTGTTATCCTTATATAACTCCAACAAGGTACAAAATACTAAATTCAATTAGAACAGGCAGTCATGGAATATAGAAGGTTTTGTTTGATAGTTTTTCTTTAGTATGCAAAGGACGCCTCGAGGATGATCAGAAGCTATTACGTGAAATTAAAAGTAAACATTGGATCTGAGATGTTCGTTATTAAAAATGTTACTGAAGTCGAGACTAAAAACTGAAAAACATACTGAGAGAGATTATAATACGAAGGTGACGTTAATTTTGCAGATGCGATCCCGTGTCCGCCAGCGACTTCGTCGAGTTTTCGAATTACATGTCTACGGACCGGAAGTACCCGAGGAATTGTGGTCAGCTGAAGGAATTCGATGTCGCCAGTGACAGAAAGTTCTTTCGCGTGACTTTTAAGAGCAACGACAGATACGACGGGACGGGATTTAACGCCAGCTACGTGTTTGTGGACGAGGAAGGAAATTACACAACAAAGCCACCGACGAGTAATGCGTCAACGTTAAAAGGTAAAACTAAACTTCTTTTCCCCTCGGCTCCCGTTCCCTTTCATACTTGAATTTTTACGTTTGCCCACACAATGCACGACCTTTTTGCCCCTTTTCGGGTTAATTTCCGTGTACAGGGAAACTGAAATGAAATTTCAACGATACTAACGTAAATTCAGTGTGTTAATTTTGGACAATGTAGCAAATTAAATGTCTGGATGACCTTCTTCTTTTTTTATGTAAAACATTATAGTACCATATACTTGCTCACGAAATGACGATACCGACAATCTTTAAAAGATTTGAATTCTTATATTAAAACGATAATTTATATGCTACAAAAGTCCTCACTTTTTATTCACAATTAAAATTACATATTCTACCCACTTACTAACGTACGCAAAAAAACAACCGAATTCCGCAGTCTATTCGTCATCATTACTATTTGTTCTTCAACCCATTATAAAATTGACGCCTGGGGCGGAAAAGTTGCGTACGAACTGTGGAAACGGAGCCTGCCGTCAGCATGCATATTCTAACGAACAAATCGATGCCGCGCAGCTGATACTAGTCCTTAGAAACGCGAGACAGAACTGGGAGGGCTCACGAGACGTAGTTTGCAATGCAAACACTGTTACAATTCCGCGTCGCGAAACGCTCCGTGTATGCATTTATAATAATCTCACGAACCGGAGGAGAGGGAAGGGAGGTTGCCAGCGAACGGCCGATGTTGTCGAATTTTTCGCGTAACAGACGCGCGCAATTTCAGTCGCAGCTTTAAAAAATTATTTCGAACCGCCCCGATATCGGAGCTTTTCATCGGAATCGATCGATTTATCGCGAAATCCCATGAATAATAGACAGTTTACATCCGAAACAGCGGAAGCTCCCGTCGCTGTAAAAAAGATTGTACGCGATTTATAATAGGATTTGCAATAGACGGTCCCCCTCCCCCGCCCCGCCGTACGCTGCGCCCCTGTTTCCCCTGGCCCTGCAGGTATTGATAGAGGAAATCGAATTTTTGTGTACGTACTACCATTATTAAATCGCCGAGAGGCGGCATTCGTTTGCTTAATCGTGCGTAAATTGGCGAAATCGAGAGCCTCTAACGCGGAACAGAAAACAGATATTCGTTCTTGTAATTTTAAGCTCGCCCCCAGCCAGATATTATTTCCACTCGTGGGTATGAATAAACCGTGCCTGGATCGAATCACTTAATGAACCGTGGATTAAACTGACGAAAGTTGTGTAAACACTCCGCGAATTCGTCTGGGTCGAAATCCTGATCGCGCGCGCTCGAAAATGTATCTGACAAGGGGGTGTTGAATTGTCGACATTCTCGTCCCCATGAATCACCAAGTTAAACTCGGCCGATAGCCACTCTGGCACTGTATTTTCCAAACTTCATTAGTCGTGGAACGCTTTTTATCTCGCAGAACATTCGCCGAACGCCGAAAGTTACATGAGCCCATAGAGGGTTAAACGTAAAAAAAAAAAAGGTGTGTCTGTGTATAATAACACGAATTATAATTACTGAAATGTAAAAATACATGAAATTCTGAAAAATGAATCTACTTTTATCACCAGTTTTACAATTTTCTTGCAGCCAAATTACTTGACATACAAAACAATATCTCCCTTGGTTTATTTTAAAAGTTTCCGGTACGCACTGTTTCCTTTTGATGATATTATGCATACACGCTATGCATGCACGTGATGTACTTATAGAACAAAAATGAAATAAAAAAAAAAGGGGAGGGAAAACATATTCCGTTATGGTCGCTGGGAATTCCTTTTTGCCTTTTGATGCGATGTAAAACGCGAAGTACAAACCAATCGTAAAGACAAGAATCAAGTTACCCAGGCATAAAAGGAAGCCGAAGAAACTTACAGAAACCTTTGGGACGATATACTTTAAATTGCGCAGTGAACGTTGCTTCTTTCTCTTCGGTTGTATCAGACACGCCATGATACAGATATCGCGTATGTGCAAACGTTAAATTGCTACATTCGACTCGAGCAAACTGTGGAATAGTACCAATGTTGAAAACACATGCCGCTTGAACCATGGATTAATCAGTCGTTTCCCTGAATGGAGAAATCAATTAATACGGAGCACTTTGACCCCTCCCCCGCCCCACCTGTCAAATTAAATCGCGAAAGGAGACCGTTAATCGTTTTCGCCAGCGATCGTGGCCGAATGCTCGAGATTCAAGGCGCTTTTGTTACTTCTTCGGCCATTATTGGACGCTTAATAGTTATTCGCCCTCGTGTCTTCAATTGCCAACGCAATCCAATATCATTAATATCAGGTAATACCGTAAATAATGCGAATTGTCTTTCACAGCAGCTGGGGCGTAATTCGAGGCATTAAAAAGCAGATAATCCCTCCTGAAAATAACGTCGAAAACTCCGAATCAAACTTTTCCGTGAGGAGCTTCGTTTTCGTGTAGATTATATTTGAAAATTCATGGAATCTGATCCAATCTGTATTCGTACTCGTAGATATTTACGTATTGAGTGGTTGAATACAATACAACAGGTTTTTCGGAGGTTCTTTATTTAAGGACATCATTCGTAAATGAATTGGTTGCTTTCAAAACTGTAAGTTCTAGGTGTATCCTTTGTTGTTTGCAAGAATCCAATTGAAAAATGGAAACAATGAATGATATTAATAGCATGTGTCTCAAATAAAGACTAACAAGCAATACGTAATATTTTACTTCGATTAATGTTTACATGAAAGTTTGATATATTTTTGGAATCAATTTTAAACTGTGTTAAATTGTATGAAAGAATTCGTTGCTTAGCGTCCATTTCGTCAAAGTAGTACTCAACTTATGAGTCACAAGAACAAGGATTCGTGCGATACGCTCGAATCCATCACTACTTTTGCTGGTAAAAGGTGAATGAGTTCCCCTCGATAAGACAACTGGTGGGAGGTCTCTCAAGTCGATTCTTTCTTTGACACGATCGTACAAAGTACGAAAGCACAATCCCGAGTGAATAGATTTCTCTGCTTGAATCAAATTCTTCATGGGAGCTTTCTTCGTAGACTTTTCAACATTGGTGAAAATTGAGATTCTATTCGCAATTCGGAACGAGATCTTATTGATGCTTTGAGGTACAGTAAAACACAACTGGAAATATTCTTATATTCTTAAATGTATAATGTATCCCTTATTAAAAATTGTCGAATCCTAGTTTGACTCAGAGACGAGTAAAATTTAATTCGAATAACAAGGAGCGAATAAAACCAATATCTATATTAGTAGCCTATCCATGTAAACAATGGAATTTTTAATTATTTTCTGCGAAACCTTTCATTCTATAACTTAAATACTTATTAAATTTCTGTATGATATCCTTCTAAACGTTTGGTCATTCCAAACAGAAAACGGAACCTCAATCCTCGATTAATCCGATATCTCGACTACACAGTCCGAATCGTCGATTTTGGATTGACCCGTGTAATGAACATGATTAATAAACCCTATTAATTACCGTGTGCAATAATACGCGCGGCACCGCGTGCGTTTCATAATTTATGAATAAATTGATGAAGAGATTAATCCTGGGAAGAAATCGAAATAGGTTGTTCGATTGAATCTCGTGAAAGTTAAATGGAATCGAAATTACCGTAACAGGATTGCGGTATAATCTCCGAAATTGCCGCGGCGGGTCGTACGTGAAAACTAATTACATTTGCATAGAAAAACGATACAACGCGGAGAGTTGGACTGGTTGAAAAAAAAAAATATCAGGAAATATTAGAAAGATCAACAAGTAACCCTAACGAATGGGATTGCGGGAGATTCTCGCGCGGGAATGAGAATTACATGCAATTAATAACGTATCGGTGGTCAGTTTAGTATACTTCGATGAAAGGACGCCGAACGTACCGTATTTGTATATTAATTTAATGAATCTAATTTATGTAATGACATATTAAACAGGAATCCAAATCCGATGCTCAAATGGCAGTGGGTACCGTATCGATAGCGCACGCTAACGTTTATATTAATTTAAAATGAACACGTTTACACAACACGAAATATTCTATATCGCTTTGTTCGTATAAAGCAGTGTTGCCCACCACGTTGCGTATGTTCCACAGGGGGGAGATTGTAATTTTGAATATTCTATTCCATTCGTCTTCTTTACTACCAATATAGTCCATACCAATATAGTCAATCGTTTTATAACTTTAACAAAACAAATTTAAAGGATGAAATTATCTTCTAAACTTTTACTTTATATAAAATACAAAAGATACAAAAATGAAAAAAAAGAAAGAATCAGAAACTAACGTTGCACACACACACCACCAAAAATGGTAAGAAAAAATACTAATCCTTCCTGAAGACTAATTATGACTATCAGAACCATGCCTCGCTCGCTGCTCCATCTTCCAAATGGAACATCATTTCAAACTTAACAAGAATCGGTGGAAAAATTGCGAAGGAAATTGCAGGTTAAATTAAAAGGAAAATTGCGTGGATGTAACCGCCCCAATGGCAGCGACGTAAACAATGGAGCAAACAATACGATTCGCTGGCATCAGCTCCTCCAATTTAGTCCATCATGAAAGTAATTAATGCGTCCGACCCAATTCTACCCTACAGATGCTGGCCAGTAATTGAACAACCATCTCCCCCGAAACAAAAATTCGGGGAAACTAAACGGAGGCAATTATTACTCGCGCCAGGCACCGAACGCGACTGTTAAAATTGAATTGGACAACATTGTTTTCGAACGTGTTGCAAGCGGAACCCGGGCGTGGTTTATTTATAGTCTGTACCACCTGAGGGAATCTTTTCGATCGGAACGATAAAAAGAGGTGCTTTTCCATGCTTTTTTTCTCAAACACTGTTGTTAATATTAATTCTTTGAAAAAAAATATATGAACACAACGACTTCGACTACCGAATATTATTTCATCGAAAATAAAGCATATATAAAAACATCTGAAATTTAAAATTGAAATAGAACAATTAATATTCAAATTAAAATATTTAAATTCGAATATAAATATTTCAGACTATAATCAAACTAAAAATTATCTGTAGGCTATTATTCTTCGTTGTACTGTATTGTATTTTATATTTTTCCGTTGTATCCCTTAGTGTTGCTTACAAAGAGGTGCAGCAAAATTTTCCCCCTTTTCCTATTGGAAATTTTCTGTTGCGCCACTATCAACAGTATTTCTGATTACATCATTGATGTCTAATATTTACCGCGACGCAGAATCGCGTAACGTCCCTATTCATTATGGAACAGAAGCCGTTGCGAGCATCGCGACGGTCCTTTTTCCCTCGCGTACCTTCGAATGCAATTACTTGCAAGGTATACGTTCGACTGTGCCTTGTTGCTGGATTTTTCCAATGGCCTGCGTCACGACAAAACGAAAATCCCTGCAGGTCGTTTGCGATGCAGATCAACGCGAGAAACGCGGCGATGCCCTCTCACCGTAAAAGCGCACCGCATTGTACGTTGTTACGAGGATATAAATGTTCGTTCAGCGCTTGTATACTCATACAAACGTCTGTTTCGAAACCTAATGGTTCGAAAGAAAAGTTACAATTATTCGATATGGGATTAAATCAGGAGGCAATTTTATTTAATTTATGGAATACTGTTTCACATGAAATATTGAAAGCCATTTTGTTGAAAGTCATTAGGGATAGGAAGAAAATTTCTATTTATTTTAAGACTCAATCTCTTTATGCTAATCTCATTGCTGAATTATTCTGGCCAGTAATTGAACAACCTTTTTCCCAAAACAAAAGTTCGATAAAATATGGGAGTAGTGTCTTTTTTAATACAATAATTTATTTATTAAATTGTTAGTGGACTTAATCAGACGCATTCAATCGAACGGAGCTAACACGTAATAAAATTTAAATTTTAAATAACCCGGGAACGACATTCCTGTTGCGTTTTAACTCTGATCAGGTTCTATTTAAATTTTAAATTTTATTGCGTGTTAATACTGACTTAAACGGATCGTTCAAGTTTACAACCGATATAAAATCCAAATCATTGAAAAATTACACTACAGTATTTACATTAAAACATTTAATTTAGATTGATCAAGAGTAGTGGAAGTGTTAGAAGAATCTAAAACAAGACATTTAATTTTACATTAACAATACTAAATCTCCAAATTTTTATCTCAACATTTAACCTTGGACTCGTAAATATACATCTCGCTTCTTCCACTACCATTTCCTCGCTCCATCATGATCATTCTCCTAATCTCTTAAAGGAAGACGTAAGGAAAGCGGATGTCGCACGCTAGAAATTTATTTTGTTATCGCAAACGCCCGTTATCGTGGCACATCCGTTTTTCTCGCGACTCGAGGCCTGGGTCGATGTCTCGGCCAGGTTAGCGATAGGATGCATGAAGATTTTTTGAACGTGGCTATCTGGATCGCGTCAGGGTAATCACGAGTCTGCCTGCTTTATTTTTTGTTAAAGGTGGAACGCTGCTGGTGCTGCTACTGCTCATAAGTCGCCTACTCTTTGGACGAGTTTCGCTTTAATCACGATCGGTAACTACTTGGACGAGTCTTGGCTCAATTTACAACGAACTATAACTTCGAGGACAGGAGCCATCCAAAATCCTCTATTAGTCGGCGCACAGATGAGAGTGGCTACATTGTTTGCGCCATTGATATTGCCAAAGGAATAGGAAAGCCGATCTCCCTGGAGACACACGGGACATCGTAATTTACTTATTAGATCTATCACCACGCTGAACCCGATGACGATCATTCTCCATCATTCTACGACCACCACGGAGAAAACGTACTCACTGGCAATAAAGTATTCGAACTTACCAAGGGGAAACTCTCGACGAGAAAATTCGAAAGCTTACGAAGAAAGCCACAAGACTCCTGGACGAGAAACTATTCCTTTCGTTATTCAAACTTGCTTCGAGGATACGAAATTCTCCTCTGAAATTTGGATTTAGTCTGATAATATTGCGACAATGTTATAAATGTTGCGATTTTGTTATAAATATTTAGTGGTTGCTTCCTTGGTACGATATTTAGAAAGAGATTAAAATTTACATCTATCGAGGCGATTCTCTAATTTGAAAATGACATCCTCGATGAAATTAGAAATTCTCTTCCTAATTGAATGAAACAATCTCGCTCACGCTCGCAACCTTTATGTTTTCGGCTCGAGGGATTCCCCGTTAGGCGTACTTAATTTAATGAACACGTACGAAGAGAGGATATTAGAGGAGTTGTACGAGTAATGGGATATATCTATGATCCGTTGTAGCGCGACGTATTAAAGAGTGCTGAATTGTTAACGTTTTCCTCCTCGTACGTAAACGAATTTATTAAATCGCTATGAACTATCTGTCCGACGAATTACTCGAAAGTCATACGTAAACAGTGAACAAAGAGACACGAAAGAAATTCGCCTTCCTAAATACACGACACACTACGGACATATTTATTATTACATCCTCTATACGACTGTGATGTTTCCATTCCTTCTTAGTTTTACTAGGAAACGTATACAAGTCTGATTATACGCGAAAAAAATGTAGATATTCGTGAAACCATGAGTAGCCTGGCCGAACAGTTACGAATAACCGTTCAAAACGGGCCAGATGAAATTAAGAGGATTTACGATTAACGGTTTACGATCGAGATACGATTAATCGTCGAAAAGGGCAGAGAAACACGAACCGATCGCGATAACTTGATTGGACGGATTTGATAAAATATGTGTGTATTCGATGACTGGAATGGGTATTATTAAGGACGATCATCGCATCGGAGAGATATGCTCGACGTTGAAGTTTTGAAGAATGAGCAATAACGAAACGATCGATCGTGATGAATACAGTTATAACGAATATCGAAGTACAGTTTGAAATAATTTTCTGAATCCGTGCAAAGGATTTATAAGAATTAATTTTTTTAATTGAGTAATTATGAATGAGATAATTTTAACATTGAGATGAGTATTCGTGTTGCTTGAGCTTTTCATTCAAAATGATTCATACATTCCAGAAAATAATATTTACTTATTTTTATTGCACAAAAGTCTAAAACGGTCATCGATGAAAATAAATTACCCTAGTGTGGCGAGGTGCAACTGGAGTGCTGCTTCTAAACCTAACGTCAATGTAAATGATTCTAATTAAAACATCGTACAATAAAGTTGTACATTAGTAAATAATATAGAAAACTACGTTACAGAAGTATTCGTAACATAATTATTCGGTGCAAGATACAATCAGCATATACTAATATACTAAATATTTTATAGGACCATCGACAACACTAAAACAACCTATAAACGATCCGGTATACTTTGAAACAGGAGTATCCTGTGGAATAATTTTATAATATACAATGTTTTACATTAGTTTTTATCGTAATAAGATAAATATACTCAATTGCACACGTTTTATACGATAAGCGAATAAATAATGACTATTGAATTGCTCTGTGGTCCGAAATCGGGGTCTACACGCACGGACTCCTGCCGTTCCCCGTATCAACATACAAGGGAACGTATCAACTACAGTATGACGTATTTCCAATACGTAGAACTGATGGAATATTTCCGATACTTGGAACCCTATAAATATATAATTTTATTCAATAGTAGTTCAAATTTTCAGTGTTTTTATTATAAAGATTCATTGTTTGTTCTGATTTCAGAATACGTACAGTGAATCGCTAAAATCGCTTTCACTATTAAATCTTTTCCTTGTTATTTTCATTATTAAATTTTTATTATTAAATTTATATAAATGAACCAATCATCTAGAAATCTACAATGTGTAAATCATTCGAAGCGAAAACATTCATAAAATACGAATACTTTTTTTAATTCAATGCAACATGTTTGCAACAATTACGACAAAAATTCGAAAGGTAAGTCGCTCGTTATCGATACGCTCGAGCTACCTTAACAAAAGTAAAACAAAATAACAAGCCGCAAGCGAGAGCCGGCGGATTATATATGACACACAAATTTCAACATTGAAACTTCGCCCACGTAATAAGCAATCAATAAAGATAAATGTTTAACGATCGATGTAAACGACGATCGAGTCGCGAGGGGAAATGCATCGACGCCCCCACGGCGAAGCAGAAAATCATTAACGTCAGAGTTAACGATAGTTCCACGGAACTTTATCACACAAAGATCCGCCACTTTTCCAGAAAATTATTTCAAACTCTAAACTGTCGAACTACAAGCCAAGCTCGTTTTCCTGAGCTTATCGCGAAGGGTATAACAGCAACAATGGCGGTGTGGTTTTTACAATTACGACGACCACCAGTGACGAGAATGCCGTCGATAAAATAAACCGCGCAACGAACGTACTTAAAGAAGCGCGAACGGAAATTCCCCAGTCACTTTAGATTTGATTCTGAAAATATTTTTGCGGGGCTGATTTATTGCGGTTGCTTTTATTGCAAGTCAGGTGTAAGATATTTCCTAGCGTAGAAATCAGTTTTATCACAGATATCTATAAAAGCATAGGGTTTATTGGAAGAATAGTTATTATCGAAAATTTGTTTCCCTTTACTTTTAGTAGTAATTATATTTGCAGTAAATCCAATAAATTTTAGGTATCTGCCAAAAATTGATTGTTTACACTTGTCGGGTTTTGTAAAAATGATCCCTACAACAACTGTGGGATATTTTGCGCACTGTCCGTAGCAGTATATTTGACAGATCGTCTTGACAAAAATATTTCAATTTAAAGCGACTGGATTTAAACAAAAAATGACCATCGTCGACACTCGAAGACAAGAACGATCCAGCGACAAACCGTTTAAGGATTGATCTCTCACGAATTCAATATCAAATTTATGTATCCAGCGATACATAAGTATAGGTAGAGCAATACTGTCATTGTGTATGTTAGACTACTGTGAATATTTTTTAATAGGTTTATAATGCGTTGACTACTTCTCCCGAGTTTCCGATTGATTTATAAAAATGAAAGAGGAAAAAAAAACATGATAAAAAATAGCGTGACTGTGGCATTACGATTTGAACGTCCCCATGAGCGTGTGAGAAAGTGTACAAGTATGGACTGTACGATGTATATGAGCAAGTTATAAAACTTCCGTTCGTTGTTACTTATATGTTGTCTATAAGAGATGAAGACGGCGAAAAAAAAAAACACTATTAGGATGTTGTACACTTAAATCGGCACTATGAAATGCTTGTATGTAAGGATCACGTTGTAAATACTGTTACATTTAATCTGTTCGAGCTGCTGTCTACTAAATACATTACCGTACCGTTTTATTCCGTACCGAGGTGCACAAATGTAACGGAGTTAACTGAAAAACGGTTGGTCGTAGCTTTCGCTCGTTTCCACCTGAGTCTATTTTAGGCTGAAAGGAAGATCAGTACCGAGTTAAGGAAAACATGGAGTGACTAGTAAGTATATGGACAGTGTCGAGACAATGACCAATGGCGCCCAAAAATTTAGCAAAACGAATGCAACTAAAAATGAACAGTGACGATACGCAGTTATACGTTCGGACACTCTACAATACTTTGTCGAGAAAGATAGGGGAAAAGCCCATTTAACTTTTTCGTGTAGAATTTAATTCCCCGTAAGATTTGTTTAAACGATTTTTGTATAACTTTAGAAATGACGAATATGTAGTAGAGAAATCGAAAAACTGCAAGAGGCAATCATTCTTCTCAAGTACAAACAGTACATGTACACATCGTGATCGTGAAGATCGCCAGCTCAAAACCAACCCCGTCGAAAAATCGTTTGATCGGTTTAGTTTTCTCCTCGCATGTCATTCTTTCCAAGAGCTGATCTTCCTTTCGTCCTACAGTATTAATTGTGACCTTTCGTTCCGCACTCTATTTCGTTACCGCGATTACTTAAAGCGACGAACTCGTTAATATGAATATGTAAATTCGTTCGTTTCGTGTCGCGATTAAATGGCCCAGATGAAATTACGTATCGCAAATTAGAAGCTGCTCGGAGTCGAGGGCAGACGATTCAATATACGCGATCGCTTTTCGAACGTAGACACAGAGAATACTTTATTGTCGTTCTATGCGGTATTAATTTGCCACGTGACACCTGGCGTTGAGTTCGCGGCGATTAGTACGGCTCTTATGCGTTTAAGGTGGATCTATGTGTACAAGGACGACTCAACTAGCTGAATAGTTATTAAACACTTCGAAACCTCTCGCGATCCACGACTAAACGAGCGCTCCGTAATGAGGCTGGATGTTCAGGGGCGGCCTAGCAGCAAGTTCCTGAGCCAGAAATGATACCAAAGAGAGAAATGATAAAAGAATAAAAAAAAAAAAAAAAGAAAATAACGAGAGAGATAAAGAAAAGAAAGAAACTTTTATCCTTACACGCCGCGTGTCACTCAGATCTGCGAGTTAACGAAGTCGCGCCTGGGGCGCTCCACAACACTTTGTCCTGCGGTTAAAACTACTCAAAAGCATCGTAGTCGTGCTCCGGACAAGGCGCGGTCGTTGATCGGAGCAACGACTACGGTATCCGCTGGCGGCGGATGTATTTTCTTATTCTGTTTTGAGGCTCTTGCCAAATCATCTCACGCATAAGTTACTGAACTGTAATGCAATCATCGTTACTGTCCTAATAAATCTTAGCATACGAATCTGTACGTAACACGTGGAGATCTTTTCTTTGACGAGACCGCGGGGTGATTTCGATTACTTCCGGTCCTAGTACTGAGACTGTCGGAATCTTCCCGCGACAACGTTTATTGTTATCAGGTAACACTCCTAACCTTTATCAACTGACACACTCAGATTTTTATTCTATTTTTCATACATTTCGTTTCGATAGATCCTAATCTAAATAGAACCGAAGAGTTTCCGTTAAGTTTAGTAATAAGTGATACTCGATTACGTGCAATACAGATATAACAAATTAACAGAGGATTATTTAAAAAAAAAAAAGTAATGAATGATTTAATAAATGCAAATGAGCAAACAGTTACAAGCATTTAATCATTCTTACCAGAAATCCCGCCACGTTTGTTTAGAATTTCAATAAACTCTTAAGGAATTACTCTTATTTTCATTTCTTAATTTATGTATAAGTGTCGATCTATATGTGCATACAAAATGTATAGTCAGTTGCAAAAGTTTGCATGCAAGGTGTAAAGTGCAATATTATGTACACTGTGAAAGTTTCGATATACCTATCAAATTATTTATGAATAAAAATTACTTCGAGGAAATTTGTAATATTTATTAACTAATGTACGAAAACATTATTTAATATACAGCACGATGTCGCCAAAATGGACACACATGGACAAGGTAAGTGATGTTTATATTAAGATTTTTCTAATCCCCTGTTGGAAACATGAATATTTCACAATGAAGAAGTGAACATTTAACAATTCAATTAAATGATCGTCCCGAATGAATCGCTACACGTTGCTTTCATTCGTTATCTATTATCCGAATACAATTTTTCCTATCTGTGTCCTAATCCACTTATCATTTCAGCAAATATTATAAAACAATGCCTGATAAATACAAGATTAAATGTGTCATTAATCAGTCCCGTAAATCGTTCCTTATACTTAAAAATATACGACTGAAGACTCGCGTCGCAACATTTGAGTTAATGTAAGTGGATTAAACCGTCTATTAAATTCGATCAAAAGTACCAAGTTCTTATATCTTAAAAAAAATTGTCCAACCCTTCCGACGCATAAACGTCGATGGTCGAAAACCCTGTAAATAAACGCTCCTTGATGTTACGTTTAAATTTCCAGGAGTCCAAAGGGCTCCAGAGACTGGAAAGTTTGAGAATCGCTGGAGTATTGTATCCGCGAAATTTCGCAGCGGCGTAACTTTACTCGAACTAGCCATCATGTCAGCCGTTTACATCGAAAACGCGAACCGACTAGAATATCGAATAGGTAGAAACTTCCGCAGACGCTCGCTGGCCGAGACCACTTTGTGGATTTAGATTTACCACGAAAACCTGTTCACCAATTTCACGTCTTCGCGCACTCCCGGTGTTCTTTTTACTCGGTAACCAGCCACAATACTGCGGAGACGGTTAAA